GAAAGAGAAGTTGTAACATTACCGGTAATTTGCCGGAATGCTGCGCTGTGTGAATGCAGATGGAAGATTCCCATAATAAGCGCGTGCATTCTAGAACGTGCTGACGTGAGACGTCTGCTTTAGCCAATCACAACAGTCAGACGCATTTACGTCCGCGCGGTTTGTGAGGATAAAAGCCTTTGAATATTTTTCCAGACACATTTAGCTGCTAGAAGTTAGTCAGATCACGTTTATATGTTCTTCTTAATGCCAACTGTGTAAATAATCATCGATGAGATGCTTATGATAAGCCGTTGTTTGTTTACCTTCAAGCTTTGTGTGCGCCTGTGAAACAGCCTGTGAGCGCCTGCACACGCACATATTATGAACATCTCGACATGCGAAAGTGATCCTGCGAAAGTTGTTCACAATATTGATCATCCACAGAGTTTGTAATTTAGTCAAATGTTTACAAACACAAGCGCAGCCGTTTAAAGCTCATTTGTGGTGAATGATGTCAGAATTTACCGGTATTTTGGCATGGATGTGTGAATGCTCTTTTCCGGAAAATTTCCGTAACGTCCTCGCCTGTGTGAACAGCGATTTTCTGAATATACCGGTAAAGTCGTTCCGGAAATTTTCCAGATATTTACCAGTATCACTGTGTGAAAGGGGCTATTAACTCCCGCTAACTCACCAAATGCAGGTAGGTTTCAGCTGTGGCAGGTGAGACGGTCTCTCCCACTAGCCACTTTGTCTGGCTGGAAATCATTTTAAGCTGTAGTTTTCTTAAAAGCAGGGTGACAATACAGATGGTCCAGTATGCAGGCAAATGTGATCTCAGTGTTGAGAAGCAGCAGGACTGTTAAAAACAACTGTGATTGCGCGAGCAAAAGAAAACAGGTGAATCCGGAATGAGAGGATGATCACGCACGCGTGCACAGGTGAAGCGCGCGGCTGTTTAAAAAGCGTGTGCGCTCTCGTTTCCTATCGAGAGGCAACTGTGTCTGGAAACGCAAGGGTGCGATCAGCTCTCTTTGAAATAGACTTGGCAAACGGTGATGCTCGTGCACCCACAGTCCTCCTATGAAGAGCTCCAGACCTGATTTAGTAAAATCTGTATGTTTATAAGCAGCAGCGGTCACTGCTTTCACTTTCAGCCTTCTTTAAACAGATTACTAACAGGCCTAACGGTAACGCAACCGACCTTTCATTATCACACCGTATGATTTTTTACCTGCTTTCTTCTGCTTACAGTTATTTTTGATAATATGCTTTAATTATATTTTGTACAATAATATTGCTTTAATAGGAGATTATCTGAGAGGGGTCTGGCTGCAGACCTGCTGCAGTGCAATCTGAGCTGCATCCAATGCTTTTTAATGCGCTCACCTAACCCCACCCCTAACCCCACCCCTCACAGTGACATCACTCACTCTATTTGAGTGCATTGTGTCTGACGTTGCATTGCTGAATGATGCAGTCTCAGCTCGCATCATAAAGGCTGCATCCAGACAATAGTGGATTAACTCCCCATTTATTAAACTGGTGATCTGAGACCTTTAGACACAGACTGTGCTTTATTTTGACAATAATTATTTCTAAAATGTCAATTTTCTTAGAAGAAAAGTTTGTTTAATAAACAGTGTATGTATACAGCTATATTCAGCTTTTTTGACACATTATTTAACATGTATGGCTAAGAAATAATCATTTATTTGTCAGAGACAAATTAAAGTCTTGTCAAATAAAAATGAAATGCAATGCGACACTATGAAACCACAACCCATTTGCACATTGATCAAGTTCATACACACACACAAAAAGGTAAATGCATGTGGACAAAACATCTAAATCAAGTCATTTTAGCATGTCAAAGCCAAACTTATGCATATCAAATATATTTCCCCAACAATAAAAGTGTGGCTAGTGAAAATGGCGAGTGGCTAGTAATGTTGGAAATCTACTAGCCACAGCGGCTGCTGATCAAAACAGTGAGGGTCAGGCCCTGATGCTCATGTGTATGAGTGACTGCTTCAACACACTCATACACTTCTGCTGCTGCTTGTTTAAACTATTGAGTTGAACCAACACACTTCTTACATTTTGTGGCGAGACAGCTGAATTGTTTTATGTTTAATTCACTTAAAACTGTAATAATAATTGAGTTAACTTAGATTATTTGTGTTGGGACAACATGAAGGCTTTGTGTGGACCGCTGTGTCTTGTCAGATGTGCAGTGTGTTGACATTGTCAGATTAATCTCTCCCTGATTGTTCAGTGTTTCTGATGCTCTGTGTGAAGTGTCACCTGCTCGTATGTGTCGGTGAAGTCAAGGTCTGCCCTGTTGCTGTGGGTCTCCTGGTTCTGCAGGTTCTGAGGGCTGTGCAGTGGCTGTGGGGCGGTGGGCCGGGTTGGGTAGCGTGTGGTCCGGCTGGTCGGCTCCTCCAGGGTCCTCCTGTAGGCGGCTCTGTTGCGTAGGAACTCCGGCAGCTGGTGTCCTCGGGGCAGCCCGTTCTCCCGGCCGCGAGTGGTACCGGCGCCGCCCTCTAGCCCATTCCTGCGCAGCTGAATGCGGTGTCCGTGCAGGTGTGGGGAAGCTGGGCCGTGGCTGCCGCGGTGGAGGGCGATCTCGTGTCCGCGCTGCCGGCTCCAACTGCTGGATGGAGGAGTGCTGGGGGTCTGCGGAGGTGCTGGTGGGACCGGCTCATGGTACCGGGGCATGTGGCCCTGATTGGGCCGATCCGGACTGCAGACCACACCCAGATCCTCAGAGTGAGTGCAGTCGCTCACACCCCATCCGTTAGAGCGGCACTCCGACAGGGAGCTCTCCGAGCCTGAACACCTGACGTTATCCAGCCAGATCGGGCCTGTGGAGAGCAGAGTCAGAGTCACGGCAGCGCAACACAAGCAGAAGACTCTCAGAACAAACCAGCAGTTTAACTTTAGGGTGCATTCACACCTGCGGTTCGGTTCTTTCAAGCGGACCAAGACCAATGCATGAGACATACTCATTGGCGGAGGCTGAGAGTTTTCAGAGGGGTGTCAGGGGCTGTGAAGAGGAGGGGGCTGGAAGTCACGGACGAGTGGGGTGGCCAGCGAGACAGGCCATGCATTACCCCCAGCTCTGCCCCTGGACATGTGGTTAATTTTCAGACTGTGTTCTATTCAGACGAGCTCTCCTCCATACCCTAACCCCTTCAAATCCACCCCTCTCACTTGAAGCCATTTAGTGCAGGGGTGTCAAACTCAATTCCTGGAGGGCTTCAGCTCTGCACAGTTTAGTTCCAACCCTGCTCCAACACACTTACCTGTAGGTTTCAAACAAGCCTGAAGGACTCGATTAGTTTGATCAGCTGTGTTTAATTAGGGTTGGAATTAAACTGTGCAGAGCTGCGGCCCTCCAGGAACTTAGTTTTACATCCCTGATTTAGGGCATAGGGATGAGCCCTACCAAATGGAGAACAAAGACAGTCAACATGTACTGTACTGTACTGTCCCCCTCCAGTAT